CGGTGTGCAAGGATTGGCGACATGCTGCTGGAGCGCAGCGCTGGGCTGGTGCAGCGCTGCTTGGAGGTGAAGGGCCGCTGGAGCTCAGCCTGGCTATGGCGAGCAGTCCAGCTTGAGGAGGAGGAAGAAGGGGGCATGGTAGGAGAGTGGCAGGGCACTTACCTGGCTATGGAAGACACCATCTTCATCACCTTGTTGGGCGCTGCATCTGGAAGGCCCCATTTGGGGTAGTGTCTTTCATTGTGATTTTGCACTTGGGAAATGACGAGGATCGTAACACAGGCAGTAACTTTTGTGAGATGTTTTCCTCACGACCAAACTCTTTGGACTTGACCCAGACCAGGTCGCCTACTTGAAACTGTGACGGGCGACAGTGCTTGTTAGCCTGTTCTATCATTCGGTGCTGAGCGTTCCTGAGGTTCTCTACAATGGTAGCTAACTCCTCGTGCTGTATCGCAAACTCTCTGGTACCAGGCGGTAACCTGTGAATCTGGTAACGGTTAAGTCCCTCAAACGGTCTGTGCGGTCTAAAGGACTTGTGCAGTTCATTGGGAATGCGACACGTGGCCAAGTGCACGTTGTTATTATAGGCACTGGCTACCTTGGGCAACAACTCATCCCAATTGACTTGATCGGGTCTAATGTACATACGCAGAACTTGTTGCAGGATCTTATTCATCTGTTCGGTCTGACCGTTAGTCTCGGGGTGCCAGCCAGACGACATTAGCAACTTTGATCCATAGACTTTCACGAGTTCCTGCCCGTTCTGACTAGTGAACCGGGTGTCTCTATCGCTAACTGTAGATAGCGGAATCCCGTGATCACTAACCCAATGGTGCGTGCCTCTGCAGGCAAGGGAACAAAAACTGCATATTTGCTAAACCTATCGATTATGACCATGACTTGGCTCTTGCCGTGCCTACTCTTGACACCAGCATCCATGAAGTCAATGGCGACTGGATCTTCAGGTTGGTCAGGAATGGGCACGGGTCGAAGAAGACCTAGAGGGGCACGCGTCGTTGTCTTGTTCCACTGGCAAACTTTGTGACTGCGAACATACTCTATGCAGTCAACTTTCATTCCCGGCCATGTGTATGCATGCATCAGGTTGGCGAGAGTCTTTTGCCAACCGAAGTGTCCCTCTGTATCGTGGCATTCCCCTAAGATCAAACTGCGGATCTCCTCACTATTGGGAACACACAGACGGTCTACTACGTCGGTCTTCTCGAACAACAATCCTTCTGTCGTGCGATAGTGTGGTTCCATCTCTGGGGCCTTCCTAACTCTCTTCAGGAGGTCGCTATAGATAGGGTCCTGCGCATACGCCTGTCTTACTTTCTCTTGCAGGTCTGTCCCTACATCTAGATAGTGGACTATAGCTCCAAAGTTGTGTGATCTCCTACTTAGAGCATCCACACCCACATTGTACCTGCCCTTGACTGGTTTGAGCTCGAAGTCATACTGGTCTATCTCAACGGCCCACCTAGTCAACTTAGGTGTCATTTTGGCCTGTGTCTTCAGCCACCTAAGAGTCTCGTGGTCTGAATACACTTTGAAGTGCCTCCCAAGCAGGTAATGCTTCCAGTGTTCTAAGGCCTGCCTGAGAGCGTAGAGTTCTCTCTCGTAAGTCGAGGTAGCTACCTTTTTTGAGGGCATCCTCGCTGACATGAACTCTACGTCCATGGTGCCTATAACGTTTTTGAGGTCTGTGGCCATTGTCGTCATCTTGCTGTAACACGACGCCTATACCATACTAACTCGCGTCCATGGTGACGGCGAATGGCAAAGACGGATCTGCTACTTTGAGGACAAGGTACTTTATCAATGCGCGCTTGAGCTTCTTGAGCGCAGACGTACAATCTTTGTCCCACTGCCAGATTGCTTCTTTCTTTAGCAACCGGCGAAGGGGAGCGACGATAGTCGAAAAGTTCCTCACGAACTTCCTATAGTAGTCAGCCAGACCTAGGAATGACCGCACTCTGTCAGTGTGCGGGGTGTTCGCCAATCTCTAATTGTCGCTATTTTTTTGTCCTCTGGCTTAATGCCATCTCCGTCTAAAAATGTGGCCCAAGTACAAGACTTGTGTCTTGGCCCACTCGCACTTCGTCGCATTGATCTTGAAGTTAGCCTCTCTCAGCTTCTCCAAGACCTGCCTCAAATGACCTGATGCTCTTGGAGGGTCCTACTGAAAACTAAGATGTCGTCTAAATAAACTACGACGAATCTATCTAACCAAGGCCTAAACAAATCATTCATACATCGCTGAAATGTAGCTGGCGCATTGGTCAGTCCAAAGGGCATCACTATAAACTCATAATGCCCATATCTCGTCTGGAAGGCAGTCTAGTACTGGTCATCAGGATGAACCTCTATCTGATGATATGCGGACTTTAAGTCTTATCTTCGAGAAATACTTATAACTCTGCACCCGATCTAAAAGATCATTTATCCTAGGTAGCGGTTCAACATTCTTTACTGTGATCGCATTTAGACCCCTATAACCTATACACATGCGTAACTCTCCCTCCTTTTTGGGGACAAATAATAACGGTGCTCCAAAAGGAGACGAACTGGGCCTAATCCAACCTTTTTCTAGCAGCTCGTCTAACTGCTTTCGCAGCTCCTCTAACTCCCTTGGGGACATCCTGTAGACTGCTCCCTTAGGAGTTCTACTGCCAGGCTCTATGTCTATCCGGTGCTGGATCGGCCGCGGTACTACTCCTGTCGGCGACTCTGCTAAGTCCTTAAACTCTTCCAGCAGCTTGGCGATGGTTGGATCCATGGGTGTGTCTTCTCTAGGCTCAGTGACAGGCCTTATATAAGCTACAAAGACCGGCTCCTCTAACTGCTCCTTTCTCACTAATAGCGCGAACGCTGAGGCACTGAGACAACAATGTGCCAGAAAGTTGTCTACTCCTAACACATGAAACAAACGGGCCGTCTTAACCTCGCCTGACGGACTAGGGAGCCTACACTCATGCTCTCGCAAGTGGAGTGTGGCCCTGCTGCCTCTCCCCAGTCCATACCTAGGACTACGTCAAAAGGGAGGTCATCCCGTACGAGGAGAGTCACGGAATGGAGAATCTTCTCCACCTTCCCATCTTTCTTTAGGCGAAAATACGCCTGGACTCCCTCTACGTCATCCTCAACACGCATCATGCGGTTGTCTACGAGAACACTGACTATGGGGTCTGTTAACTTCTGGACTTTTTAAACCCTAGCCTTAGCTTCTTCAGCGCCCTGCGGCTAATATAACTGCGCGTAGCCCCTGAGTATATAAGGGCTTCTACTCTGCTTCTAAAAACTTCTACATCTACTAACACTAGTTGTCCTTTGCTTTCCTTCGTCATTTTGGCCCAGGCAGGCATCCTTTCTTTCAATTCATCAGCCACGCCTGTGAGGGAAGTGCCTAGAGAGACGCTAACACATGCAGTCTCTGGACAACTAACTAGGCACTGGCCTGCAACCTTTGCCATAGGCTCATGTGGTGTTGGAGTTTCCTGGTGGTGCGCGCACACTTCCCCACATGGCCTAGTGGTAAGGGCAGTTGCGACCCCTACTAGTGGCTGCCTTTTGACCCCGGGGCAGCGAATCGGGCTTCCCTATACTTTGGACAATATTTGATAATATGGGCAGGGTCACCGCAGTAGATGCACTGCCACTGCTCCATACGTTGTTGCCACACACACTGGTCCAAGCCCAAGTCTTCCCAAGGCCGGCCCTGTGGCCAACCTGGGTGCCAACCTCCTTGCCTCTGAGGTGACCTTCCACCTCTACGCTGCGGCGATCGACTAGGCCCTGAGCGATTTGGCGGAGGACCCTGACCCCTACCTCCCCCTTGACGGTTCCTTTGACCGCCAAACCCCTGTGCACCCGGACCTCGACCACCCATGGCCCGACCCCCTTGGCCCTGGCCTCCTCTACCTTGCGGCCTCCCTCCAGCCATGACAACAGCATACGTCCTCCCCTGACTTACACCACTGTCCTCCTCCTCTAGCCCCCACTCAATTTGATTGTAGGGGACTTCATCCGTACCACCCTCATCCAAAGTAAGGATCAGGTGATTCTTGGCCCCAACCTAACCTGAGATGGTACATCCCTTCCACTTCTTTCCCTTGTCTAAGTCCTTATGCCAGAAAGTGGAAACTGACATGGACTTTGCCTTGAACAAGACTACTTCTCTACTTAACGCATCATACGTAATATTGGCTTGTTGGTTCTTGTCAAAGAAATGCCCTCGCAGGGGCCCTGGCATGGCACGATAAAATAAGTTAACCAACTAGGTCTCAGTGACCCCGTGGTCTAGGATGGCTACAAGGACATCCGTCACTGCCTTGAGTGCTTTGGCACTCTTCCACTCCCTGGAGTGGATTGTTTGCAGCTTATCGGAGGCCCTGACGCCCCTTGTGACGTCAGCGAACCTCTCTCGCAAGAGTTGAGGAAAGTAGGAAGAGGGGTGAGCCTAGAGTACGCAACCATATTGTGCTCACAATCGGCTGCGCGCGCAAGGGACCTGGCAAAGCTGGCCGCTTCATCCTACAGCGCATGGAAGGCCACGAGGACTTGTTCCTCAGGCGCGATATGTTGTAAATACACATACGTGTTGATGCTGGCCTCCCAATTATCATAGTCCTCTTTCCCGAGTCAGGAAATTTGAGCTTGACAGGCTCTTTGCGGGGACGTGTTTCGGCCTCTGTCGTGGCCACTACCTTGGCACCTTCAATGGCGCCTGCACATAACCTCTCTGCGCCTTCCTTCAGTCTCTTAACTTCGGTCCCGATGTGGGTCACCACGTCGCGCGCAAACTCTCTAAACCCGGTCCGGATGGAATGGAGGGTCACCTCTTGGCCCTTATTAGCTTGACATTGCTCAGTCCAGCCCTGTCCCAAAATCTCTAGATAACTCAAAATCTTGTCTAGTTTGGCCGGAATATCCTGCTGCGCTCCCACTTCTTGCTTACACGATTGTATTCTTTCCACTTCCTTGGCCATCCGGTTGGCCTCCTCCCTCCTTCTCTTCTTCTCCCTTGCCAAATGCAACTTCCACTCCAATCTCTTTTCATCCTCCAGCGTCTGGCGGTCCAGGGGGTCCTCCATAGCTTCCAGCTCCCTGGCTATTGCTTGTTTCTCCTCCCGAGGCACATATAACACTACCTCTTCGTCTTCTCCCAATGATAAATTAGCCACCCATTCGGATATCTTCTTCTCCATCCACAAATCTTCTTCCTTCGTGCCACTGCTCTGTCCTCTCTCTCCGGTACGCCTTCTGAGGAGTCCTTCCAATGCTTCCTCCTCCTCTGCTGCTGCTTCTTCGACATCTCTCCTTTTCTCTTCCTCTTCCTCCTGTAATCTCATCATCTCCTCCTCCAACTTTTTCTTTGCCCCCTGCTCCTCTGCGATTGCCTTTAACTTCGCCTGCTTGAGGAGCTCCTTCTCCTCTTTTCTCTCTTTTAAAATGGCGGCCCATTGCTCCTCTTGAGCCTGGGTATAAGGGGTAGTCCTCTTCCCACTACGGGTGTCCACCATGGTGTCAGGTGCACAACTGGATATTAGTTCCACTCCTCACCACTTAGATATACCCCCTGACTGACACAACCTACTGACTCCATCTATGGACCACAGAATCCAGACAAGATCCTGTCAACTAGGGTCACGAGCCTGAACCTACTCTAAGGCTATCACTACAGGACTCTTTGCTGATCATGAGGCATTTAAGGAGATCCCCCGTAACTCCTCAGGAATTAATTAACGTCGAAAATAGGACGACGCAATCAGCAAGTCCTCTCAAGACTTAGACGGCCTGTTGTGCAGCCCACAACTCGGATTTTGGGTCTACCGTGCCACACCGAACAGCCCGCCGGTCAGTACCAGTCCTTGGGAGGGTTCGTGTCCTCCGGCACAGTCGAGTCGTCAGACACAGTCTTTAGCCCTACTCGGCCCGTGTGGGTTTGGTCAACAAGGCCCTATCCTTCATCCACATAGTCCTATCACCTGGACAGAAGAGACTCGATGCAGAAAGAAGAGAGACTGACTTGACTCAGCAAGTACCACTGTGTGCACATCCATAGGGCGAGGGGATAGGCTTGAGGGCTTGGCGAGATTATACTGGCTCCAGCTTGGTCAAAGTCGTGGTCAATAGTCTTGGTCAACGCCTTGGTCAACGCCTTGGTCAACGCCTTGGTCAACGCTTGGTCAACGTTGGTCTGCACCCTGGTCAACGCTGTGGTCAACCCCGATCAACTCCGCCGGTCAACTCTTCGTTCGGCTATGGCTGCCGCCTTCTTCTTCCTCACCAACCTTCTTCTTCTTCCTCTTTCCTTTCTCCTTCCTCGCCTCTATCTTACACCCCGGTTATCTTCTTTCTTTCTCTTTTTTTTTTTTTTTTTTTTTTTTTTTT